TCACATAGCTTTCCAAAGAAAACTCTCATCACTATTTCTTGCTAGCAGTAAAGCCTTCTCTTGTGTTTCTTTCCAAACATATGTAGTGGATGGTCTTTGTTCCTTATGGCTTGCTGTTTAAGAATAAACAAGGGCAAAAAAGAAGCATTCTGGGGGAGGAATTCTGGGGAAGGAAGCGTTCTGGGGCACACCAACCTGACAGGGATCCCTACAGCTCCAGCCCGCATTGCCACGAATTGCACACAAAAGTCACCCTGCTTAACACTTCCCACCTTGAAACCCACACCTGGTTCTTCTGGTCCTGACTGGGCAGCTAGAATAGGGTCCATATAGGGCCTCCCGAAAAGAAAAGGGAGAAAAGGAGTGTAAAAAGTATTCCCATTTAAATGAAGCAGAGATACACTGATGTATGAAAAGAGAAAGGGACTGAGGAACCCACTTGCCATTTCGCAGATACTTCAGCAGAAAGGCAGAAATTGGTGTGGAGGCAGCATGAAAAAATATCAGACCAGAACAGAGAGGTTTTAAGTGTTTCACAAGTGTGTTACTAAGGAGATAGCCTGAAAACATCTGGAAAAATCTGGAGATTTCCAAAGTAGATTTTGAAACAGAAAACAACACACAGTCAGTCATAACTTTGGCATTTTCAATCATTTGAGAGGAAAAAAAAATGTAGCCTTCGTGTGTAATACCTTCCATTGAGAAACAGGTCTCCTTTTTTGTTATTTTGCTTGTTTAAAGCTGTCAGACACCTCAGGAGATCCTCTAATGAATACAGCTGCTGTGGTTTTGGACACTGGTTTACAACTCTTTGCTCCTGATGCTATAGTATGGGACTTGTGAGCTTTTTCTGCTGCACCCATTATCCATATAGCATATGTTTATATCTATATAATGAAGAATTTATACTTTCTCAGAATGTGAGTTCAGGCTAGTGCAGTGGGTTTGCAGCTGGAGGCACAGAGGATGGGCTCCCTTCAGACAGCTCTGCTTTCGGAGATGTAGTTTCCAGCAGAGGGGTAGGGGGATATAATAGCATTGCGAAGCCAATGTAATCAGTTCGAACATATCCTACCGATGTGAAAACTGAGTGCAGAAAACCTGCTGTTATTTAGGACATCGTGTTCTCCAATATTTCCAGGGAATCATTCATCTTAAATATATTTATAAACAAAATTTACAAAGCTAAAAATGTAATCTGGAATCTGTTAAGAATAATCAGGCTCAAAAACTCCTCCTGGACTTTTTGTGGCAGGTACCTGAACCTAGGGGGAGAATGATTTGCTGCTTTGCTGCTGTACCAGGAAACATTTAGTGAGACTGGTATTTCCCTTGTTCCTCTCTACTTAAGGTTCCTCATTTTTTATTTTCTTGCAGTTTTCTTTCTTTATCCCTACTCCTAGATATATTATCTAGCTTTTTTATCCCCTTTTCCTTAGCTTTCCCCTGAACTCATATTCTTCTTCACTTTCCCATTCCCAGCATTTCTACTGTTTTTCTATTTCTTTTGAATCGTTTCCATCTTTCCTGCAGAAATTCCCTAGTGCAAGTCCTTCACGAACCCTTGTTACCCTTCTTGTGGTTTCTCACTTCTAGCTGGCATCTGGAGCTGTTTACAGAATTTCCTGTAGGCACTTCTGACAAGAAAAGTTGCCAGGGTGTATATGCCTCTGGTTCAAATGTAGGGTGATTGCATTTCAGCTTTCTGATTACATTAGATTTTTGAGAGATTTTGGTGGACAATCTCTCCATTTGATTGTCTACTAAGCAATGCTGAAACTACAGGGTACCTAAATAATATTCATGTAATTTTCAAATTTGCATAATCAGTGGTCTCAGTCAGCAATTAGTATTTCACTAATATCCAAACAAACATAATTTTCCAAATTATACAGAACTCAATCAGAAATTATGTTTTCTTGTGTGTAGTGGTCTGTTGGAGGATATCAAATACTAAGAGAATAAAGATTATTTTTGTTAATTTGAGGATTAGTACTTCTAGCAAGTTTCAATTTACATAGATACAAATAAAAAAAAAAAAAGGTAAGTTTAAAATAATTCAATCATTTTTTCTGAGTGTATCTCTTGCTGTCTTGCAGCTTGGTGCTCCATAACACCAAAAATTTCATTATTTTGGACTGATTTTTTTTAAGGTAATCTTTATTGATCTCATTCCAGCATATCCTGAATTTTGAGATAGTGTTCCAAAAGGTGGGTTAAGAAGTAAATCTGTCCGTTAGATGCATCGGTGCATTAGGACCAATGCAAACTGGTGCATTAAGTCCTTCAGGTGTTGCTCCTAAAAATTTGTGTAAGGTCACTGAACTAGACCATGTTATTTTGGACTGGTTCCTTCAGTCTGCAGTGCTTCAGCTTCAAAAGCAACAGAGATACCATACGCTATTAATCAACACTGTTGTGTTTAGCACTCCACAGATTGAAATTTGCTGTTTTCAGATATTACACACCAGTACAAAACCCATTATGTGTGTTACATTTCACTTAATCCTGGTTTGCTGTCTGTAATTGTTTCAGATACATTTATAAGGAGAGGTCTTCCTATGGGATCGATAAATCACATGTTAGCTTTTAGCCATGCTGTATTTTAAAATAATGTTAACATGATAAAATAAAAGTCTGTGCATTGTTTTAATGCGTGTGACTTTCTTTGCTGTCTTATGTACAGAATAATCCATATACCACCCATACTGAAAGTGGTTATTAAATATGCTGGCTCAGTTTACTAGTAGCTCTAATACACTTCTGTAATGAGGAAATACTTGTAACATCAAAGCATGGGGAGACATTAGCTCTTTTCCCCTATAGCCTCTGACCTGAAAGCTTTGCTTTTTATCTCTATATAAAGGGAAAATATTCTTTTCAAAGAAGCCTAGCTAGAGTGTGGATATTTTCTCCATTGTAGAATCAGAGCCTGTGAAAGTAATCTACAATTTTTCATCTTTGTTCAGAGTATTGCTTTATTTTGGACATTATGCCTCTTTGAGAGCGAAAACTCTTGCTTTCAAGTAATAGTGACTGGGAAGTGCCTTCTAAATCCTGAGGTGCTTCTGTTTTCTGGAACCCTGCCAGTCTGAAGAAAGGTGACCAAACATTTCTCTTTTTAAAAGAAATAAAGAGAGATATATTGTGTAAGAGAAAGAAAATTAAGTTTCAGAAATAATGGGTAAGACCCAAAGACAATTAATTGTACACAGGGTTTGTAAGAGAGCCAACATCTGGCAAATCTAAACTATATTTGATCTTGGAGATGTTGCCAGTTATTTTATTAAAAAATATATTGCAAGTGATTTTTCTAAAGTATATTTAGACTTTTAAATCTGTGCATTGGATCATCTTTGCTTCTGCCTTTATATGCATCAGACTATGTAATCTAGCTTGTCTTGTTTCAGCTCAACAATTTAGGATTCTTGACTTTTTGGCTTTTAGATTCTTAACTTAAGCTATCTCAGGGAGGACTTAGTCTTCAGAAACAGCTAAGTACACACCGTCAGAAAACTGGGCTGTTGTATGACCTGCACAATTACTTTTGGGCATCTGATCCCTTGTTCCCAGACAATCACAGGGAAGAGAGCTCTGACTTAATCAAACATATGTGCAGTAACCAGAAGAAAGAAGGTTGAGTACAAATGGACATATCTTATCATGTATGGTTGGTATTCTGACAGTTATAAAGACATTTTGTGCCTAAATTTTCATTTAACTTAAAAATAACTTCTTAAACTCATAGACACTGATAGTATTACAGATACTGTACATTCCCATACTTGTATGATCTGGACTCCAAGGTTTCTAGTAACATCTGAAACCTCTTTTTTACCTGTAAATTTTTGTTGCAAGGACTCTTTCCTTGGAATCCTACAGAAAAAACAGAAGAGTCTCAGTTCTTTTTCTTAATTACCTATATTAAGTCTATTTTGAAGGTAGATTGGTTTGTTGGGTTTTTTTAGGCTATCACTATGACTAATCTGGGGTATTATTTTTCTGCATTCCACAATTCATGGCTTCTGAGATGACATTAAGCAGGACTCGATCTATGACACTTAACTCACAATGGTGTTAAGTCAATGATTAAGTTAATGAATATTCATTGATTTCTTGGATGCTCTAGGTGGGCCTTCTTATAGGTGCTGATAGTTGTGAGGTGGATGTTTTAAAATTTAGCCTGGGCTTACCTGCTTTTCCACACACCTTCTAAAAATTGCTTAGCCAGAGGAGGGGTGGCACAGTCCGATTCTGGTGTAATGGCATAATTAAAAAGAAAATAATGCTACTCAATTTTCTCTAAGATTTCATATGAATAAATAAGTTTCAATCTTTCTTCTGCTAGAAACAAGCTGGATCACTTGTTTTGCTTTTTAATAACGGTACATCATTTCATTATACTTGCAGAAGTGCAGACTAGCATATATTTTCAAGCATAAATGTATTTATTAAAAAAACATTACAGAACTGCATTAGTGTAAGCTTTATAAAGTGTCCTATTGCTTTTTTTTTTTTTTTTAATACACCGTTCTTTGCCTTTATTTCTTTAATACTTTGTTCTTTGCTTTTTGAACTAAGCAGAGAAAACTTTTTCTCGCAGAGTTAATATTCTTGATAGGATACACGTATGTGTCCTTAAGTTAGAAATATTTTACCTCTGTGTTAGACATATTTTACCCCTGTGTTAGACACAGTAAAAAGTATGTGCCTAATATAAATTCCAGGAATCTTGTAAGCAGAAAGTAAGATAGAAAAGGAGAGAACAGGGGTTGTGTGTTGTTTTTTTGTTGGTGGGGGATTTTTTTTCCAGATTGTAATAATTAAAGATTTAGAAAATTCAAAATGTTTTTCAAAATGTAAATGTAAGTAAATTATGTATTACACTTGTCTAGATACTTACAAGAATCTGAAACCTTCTGCCAAAAATGAATATTTTAGCTTGCATTCAACTAATATGCCAACTTATGGTTACTTACATTTTACTCCTGTTTGCTACAGGTGAAATGGGTGAATATCAGACAGCTTATTACAGAGACAAGCATGCTGCACTCCCAAACTAGGATGACAGAACAAGTCATGGTACGTATTGTAATTTCAGTGCTACAATACATCTTCAAGCTGTCTGAGGTAAAATGCTTACTAAGCACAGCATTGGGGCTGTCAGATTGCTTCATGGGGTGGTAATTAAATTGAGGCAGTTCTACCGTTCATTTTGTGGAACTAAGCCAGAATTATCTGTATCCTAAAAATATTCTGCCATAGATTGCTGGTTGTAGCAGGAGCACAGTTTTTTGCATATAAATTATCTTTCATGGAAAACATCCTATTTCTCCCCGTTTTTCTCACATCCATAGGTTGTGGGGTAGAAGAGCTGTTTTGTAACTGGCCTGGTTTATGTCTGATGAAAACTGGTCATCAAAGACGGTATCTCCTTTAAGACTGCAGGCACTTGGGCTGGATTCCAGTTGTGACTAATGGGGATAAAGGATGGATGGTCATTGTGGCCAAAGGGGGCATTAAAGTTTCCTGCCTGATTTACAGTATTCTCAGCCTTGATATAATTTAGAATATCCAGGGTCCCACTCGGCTGTGGTTGGCCATTGCCTTAAAAATAAAGCTCAGTGCATGTGAGGAGGCAATGTGATAAATGAAGAGGAAGCTTCCCCTGGTCGTTTCTGGAGACTAGCCGCATTATTAAAATGTGCGGGAACTGCCATGCTGGGTCAGATCAAGGATCCCGGCAGCTCAGCAGTTTGTCTCCAGCAGAGCTCTGGTATTCTGCACTGAAAATCACTGCTAGTCCAGAGTGACCCTGGCTCTGAAATAGTTCTCTGGGTGTGGAGTCCTAGCACCTCCAATGTCTCCTCATCTGGAAATACTATCACTCATGTTCTTCCTGAGATAGTGTGATGAGAATTGCAGGTAGCGTTAGTGGCATACATACCAATGGATTTATAGAGCAGGAGGATTATGGTCTTGTTTTCTTCTCTGCTTATTTCCTAGTGAATCTGACCTTTCTGAACTTTTCAAGTTGCCTCAAAACTTGTAGTGAGGTAGGCAGCACAACTGTTGCTAGTTCAATGTCAAAAGTATATGCAACTCATCTAACTGCAAATTCGATTCCAAAGATGTTTTTTTAAGATTGGGAAGGGTGAGGCTGATGTGTAAAGGAGGCTCTTGTTGCAAATGTTTCCTATAATGCACAAGTGAATTTGTTTTGTAATTCAACATCCTTTAGAAGGTTGTTTGTTTTGAGTTCAGTTCATTTAGTCAGACAGTGAGAACTGGAACTGGGGTGAAATAGCATACACATGCAAAACAGGTTTTGAGTGTACAATGTGGAGGACCTGTTAATAGGTTATCTGGAAATAGATGAAATCTGCAAAAAGTCATAGTTAAACGTGTCCTTTTTTTGATGAAATGGTGGTGAATATGAATGAATGATGAGAAACGCTGAAAACCACTGTTGTAGGATTCAAAACATAGTAAGAAAAGGTTCTAAAGAAGAAACAATTTCTTGAAGCAATGTACTAAATTGCTTGACCCTTTCCAAACTAAAAAAATATAAATGAATGTATGGTAGTACTTAAATTGGTATCCAATAAATAGATACATTATTCAGAAAACTGTTATGTAGGAAAGAAGTTGCAAAGGGTGACTTTAATCCATGGGCTCTCGACTCGTCAGGGTCTACCCACAGTCAGGAGAGAGAGAGATGGATTCCTAAGGGGTAATTCAGAATAAGAATCTCAACTGACTTGGCTCTCACCTTGAAGCATAATTTGTCATCAAAGGATATTGTGACAGGAGACAGTGCAACTGTTTTATTAACAAGATTTCTTATACCATTCTCTGATTATGAAAAGGCCTTTTATTGTTGAAATCTGCAGTTTGCCATTTTTTAAATATATGTTTGAATCTGGCTCAAATATATAGCACATCAGAAGTATGACTTTTGGAAGATATAATTTTCCTTATTAATTAATAATTTTCCTCAGATTATTGAATTTTAAAGCACATTATCTCATTGCTTATTTGTCATATTTTTACCTCTCGTAAACCATGCTATATACATGTTCACATCCTTTGATTTTACTGCTGTTTTTCTTGGTTCCCTTGTTATATTTTCTTCCTTCTGTTTGATCTATTATACACAATGAACAACAGTTTTCACTTAGACTAATCTTTATGCTGGTTTGATTTTTAAATATATATTATAATGTTGTTAGTGATGTTATACTGAAGTCCCTAGTCCTGCAAAGGCTGATTCATGTTACTCACTTTGCACAATGTGAACGGTCCCATTGGAGTTCAAGAGTTATACACATGGGTGTAAAGCTTTGAGTGCTGATTGCCTTTAGTGGGCTCATTTTCAGTATCACAAAGCTGCATTTTAAGGACTGTTGCACAGATCTGAAAATGTACTTTTCACTGGAAACAACTGTAAAAATATGTCCTCAACTGGGAACCTGGAGAAGAGAATTTTAATTTGGATTAAATTAAGCATATATTTTGAGGGATACAGCTTGACCAGCAGTATTTTATGACTATCTGACAATCTTTTATATTCTTGAAACATAGAAATAGCTTTATTTTTGTACTAACTTTTTCACAGTTGCAGTTTATAGCACAAAGGATGAAGCAGTAAAAAGCAATACATTTGATTTTTTCCCCACATTCTTCTACTCAGAAGAAAGCAGCTAGAATAACAGGCAGTAATTAGCTTTCATCCAAATTGTGTATGAAGTTTTAGTCTGTAGACTCATTGCGCCTATGTCATCCTGAAGATTAAAGGTTTCTTAACTACATAGTGACACAGCAGGCTGAGCAAGCTGTGCAGGAGCTGGTGAGGTTTGTTATATAATAACTGATCTGTGGATCACTGGAAGAGTCTGGATTTCTGTGTCCGATCCAGACAAACAGAAATCTAGCTCATTGTACCCGTCTGGTTTAGTAGGTCACCATATACTACTGGGGTGCACAATGTGACTGATACGATTTCTGCGGTGCTGGAAACATATTATTCATCGAGATGCCAGATGCATACACCCAATAAAGTTAATGTTCAGCAATCTTTGCTTTTGGCAGCATGCTACAGCTTACTTTTTTTTTTTTTTTTTTTTTTTACCACTGTGGATACATTCAATGGATTTCAGGTGTTCTACAGTCGAGAAGACAGCTATGCATAATGTGCTCTGAAGTTACATTGAGATTATCCTTCAAGATTTGTTATTAGCACAAAAAGGAAAATATTCTACTGCATTTATAGAGAGCTTATAAGCAGTGAACTGTATTCTCTTCCACTGCAGAAACATAGCCAAGCAAAAGTGATTTGACTTTGGATAACAATTTCACCTTCTCAACTTGGGACAAGCAGATCTTTCTTTGACTTATCGTGGGTTTCCATCACCTAGTATTCAGTATGCCAATTTTCAAATACCCTTTATTGCTGTTGTCTTCTGTTACTTATTCCTTCTGGCAAATCTACTATTTGCATTTGATATAAAATAATTAATTTCATTTTCTAACCACTCCGTGAGTTCCACTAGTTGTTTTTCCTTTGCTTGGAAATAAAACTAGGTCAATTCCATTTTGGTTCAGTACCATCTAAATGAGTTATATGGTGCAGACTTTACTGTTATAACCTAGAAGATGTTTGGCCATCTGGACACCTCAACATGACCTCAGATTGGTCTAAGGGAGGTTCCCAGCAGGCTCACTTTCTCAGTTTAGTTAATAATATATGATATTTAGGTTTGATTTTTTTTTCTCTATTTCTTCTGAAGGATTCTGAGTTGATGGAGAGGGATGAGAAGAAACAAAATTATTGTTCATGTCCTTTATTTGTGCCTAGAATGTTGGAAAGAAGAAAGGATGTGCAGAGACAGTGGGTACCATTTTTTTAATAATTTCATCCTTTCACATTAATTTTCAAAATATTGATCCCTTTGGATATTTCAGATAAGCGGCTTTGCACAAATACCATCAGTGAAAGTAATGGTGATAGGATCCCAGTGGCTAAACAGGCTTAGAAAAATGTTTTGAGGAGTAATATGGGATATACTATGATGGGTGTCGTCGTAGCAGATCCTGTATTGATATCAAAAACTTGACTGAACTTTGTAAGAATGGAAGTCTATACTTTTGTATCTTTTAAACCAAGGAGGTAGCAAGACATACTGGCAATAGTACTCTTGAGTTTTAATACCCTCTCTGAAACATTGCCAGTGTTACGTTGTGTGATTCATTCTGTGATGTTGTGCTCCCCACCACCATTGGTGGTCATAATGGATACATCTGGTCTTGGTTTCTGCATCTGGCTCAAAGGGGATTCGGGGGAGACAGAGAACAACACAATAGCCAAGGTCTAAGTTAAGCATGCACCAGATGAATTATGGATGGTACACAAATATGACTGTAGGTCAGTCATCTTAGTCCATAAATAGTGGACAGTCCAGGGCCCGTTGAGCTCTCCCGCATGGCAGCAAGCTGCACGCCAGGATCAACCCTTGAGTAGTGACACCTCTCAATCCTTATTGCATCAGATTACTCAGTAAGTGAATTGGGAATAGGTGTGCTGAAACTTTGAAATCTTAGCTAAGTAATATAAAGGACTGATTGTGCACATAGAATACTTTAGACATAAACTGTTGACCAAGTCTGTGACTAAGTCTGGATCCAGACACACCTAAACTTCCATCTGATAAGTTCAGAATGCAAGGGGGTCATTTCTGAAGCTCATGGTCTCTATGTAGTAAATAAACAAGTGTACCTTGCCATCTGATCTTGTTAAACCACTGTCATTTGCTATCAAACTTTGTTAAATTGCTGATTTATATCCATAAACATATTGCTGCTTCTCTCTTACAGTGAAGTGTGCCACTCCATCCATGACAACTTCCCTGTGTCCATTATGTCATTTGCCCAATAAGGATGAACTAGAAAGATGATTAGAAATACTGTAAGCACTGTTGCACTTTAAAATTTCTTTGAATGAAATCAGAGGGGTTTTTGTCCTAACAGATACTTTGCAGACAGAAATCAATTAGTCTGATAGCATTACTCTTCTTCAAAATGGAATTGTATTGGACCAGTTTGATGTCTTCTTATAATTGCGCACTAGATGATTCTTTGACTCTTATCTCTCCCTCAGTCTGTGAATTTGAAACCATCAGGAAGATGTCACATTGGTATGAGTATTCTTCAGTGATAAGAACAGTAATTGTTGTAGGGAGACTTCTTAATCTTGGGTCACTCAAATCCCTTTTAAAGACAGCAGGTGCTCTCCAGAGCAAGCATTAACAAGAAGAGATTATGAGGTAACCTGTTGTTCTTTATATCTCAGCATCTCATGGCAAAGCTTACCATCAGCCAGTATGTTCAGAAGGCAGTCAGTACAGGAAAAAATTCAAATGTGACACAGGAAGGAACTAATGTTTTCAGTACTAAAGAGTGGATTCATTTTAAAGGCTGAATACTGAGAACTGTTAAGAGAAATTTATATTTATGCAAGATAATTATATATGAGTCAATTATAAAAGCAAGAAAAAAATTAGCAGAGGCTAAAAAAATGGAGCTGCAGATATTCATGGTGTAATGCAATCATGAAGAAATTCTGCTTCCTCAGAAATCAAAATCCAAAACTACATCTTGCCAGATTTGTGTCATGTTGCAACTTTCTTTTTCTTTCTAACCCTCATCTTCTTCCCAACTGTGGCAAACACTGTGAAAGTGAGTTAGTCATTTGTATTATCAGACTCTAGCACTGCTAACAGTATGACTTCATACATATGTGCTTGTGCTGTGGGCTGCTTAGCATTTACAGAGTGAACTCTTGAAGCTGAACGTGCTCAGGGTCTAACAGAGCTCTCCCAAGTACTATCACAGTGGAGCAAAACTGTCTGTTATTTTCAGCTCTCAACCTTTTATGAATTTCTGGATCCAAATGCCAACTAAATTTTGTTAAAATAAGATTTTGCATCTAATCCTGTCCATTTCCATCCAGATCATGATGCAAAATTATTTAAGTAAAGCACGTCTATAGAAATCTTTGTGAGGTCGAGAATTAAGCATAGGATAAATCACTGCATTCAAATGATAAAGCCCACTTTCAAAAGTAATTCAAGAAAAGATTTTTTAAAAGTATGTAGATGCAGAGGTGTACTTAGCACTTTCTAAGAGCACGCTAATCTCAGTGAGTGTTAGGGATTTAACCCTTCTTCACTCTGCTTTGAAAAAAATAAGCTAGGTGCCTATCTCTGCCTCTAAAGTTCCAAAATACTTTTTTAAAAAATCTGGCCTTTGATAACCCAAATCCCCTTGATTTTCAGTAAGACTTTTCCTCCTGAATTCTAGATCCTCATAGGTTTTGAGGGTCTAACTGTCTTAAATTAAAATGTGAGTTAAAGGCCCAGGTACTTTGAGCCTTGGTGATCAAGTCACTTCTGAAAATGAGTGTTAGACTACTAATCCCCTCAGGTACTTGTAAAATATTTTCCTGTCACCTCTAAGGAACTGTTCTAGAGGAATTTACTTTGTTAACCACTTGCTTTGTCTTGAAGTTTGTCTAACAAGTTTATGTAATATTTGTTATAGAGAATATTTTTTCCCCTAAAGAATGACAAAACTTTTTTAAAATGAAAAATTATAAAGATAACAAAAGTATATATTTATGCTTTCAGCAGGCGAATGTGTTTTTTAATGGAATTTAAATAAATTGAATTTTTATGATAAAAAAAGCAACAGTAAAAGCAGTGATTATGTTTTTCATAGTTCATTTGCCTCTCTTGCCCTGCAGATCTTGTATAGAAGGAAAATGAGATCCCTGGTGAAGCCTACAGTGTCATTGACTCTGAAGAAGGACTCAGAGACCCATTGGTGTTTAATGACCCTTATTGGCCTCCACAAAAGAAACTGGTATGATCTACTAAAAGAGACATATGGTTCTTTAGAAATATAAAGAAACACTGTTTTCTTCATGGGTAAACATTGTAGTCATGCATTTCTAAACACTGCCTGGTTTTAGATGACTGCTCTTAAAATGGCAGTCTAAATTTGGTGAGGAATTGCATTCATTTTTCATTAGTACTTGATCAACAGTAGTGGTATTTTACTAATACTGCAATCATGTAATTTTAATGCTCTTATTATTCTGCACTATCATATCAAACTAAACCAAACACAATACATAAGAGAGCTAAACAATACAATGAGAAGCAGCTAAACTGTTTTATAGGACATGTGCTATGTAGTGAAATGCAAAAGTTATAGGTAAGTGTTGGAATATTATAATATTTCTGTATTAATTTATTCATTTAAATAAAATATATAAAATGAGGAGAGAAGAGAAGAGAAGAGAAGAGAAGAGAAGAGAAGAGAAGAGAAGAGAAGAGAAGAGAAGAGAAGAGAAGAGAAGAGAAGAGAAGAGAAGAGAAGAGAAGGGAAGAGAAGAGAAGAGAAGAGAGGAGAAAGAAGAGAAAAGAGAAGAGGAAAGAAGGAGAGAAGAGGAAAACCCATCATTTAATGGCAAAACAAAACAAAAAAAATTTCACAGTAAAGAGTAGTAGAGATTCAGTTAGGATGATATAGGAAACAAGTAGGAAAAAATATATTGCAGTTACATCACAGAATGAACTGTATAGGGCCAGAACCTAGTGTACAAGTAGACTTTGGTTGTGGGCAGCGGTAAAGTGATGAATATACCTAAACCACAGTAGATAGACTAGTGTAGTCAAATTCTGATGGGCATTGTTGTGCTTCTCTCTCTAATGTGTGTCCCCAGAAAAAGAGCATCTGTATGATAGACACACAACTAACATCTTCCACTGGTTCTAGAGACACCATACCTGTGGCAAAATAGAAGTGCGGAGCCGTAGTTTTAGTTTCTCAAAGGGGTGTGCTTATTTTCTAAACTTGAATCATCCAGAGCAGGAAATATATTGAGCTGTTGGATTGGTTTTCTTAATCAGACTTTTTAGTGACTAATTATCTTTTCAAAAGTACTTGTAAAAACAATACGATTGGTTCAGCTAGCTTATAATTTTTTCCTACTTCAGTGTACTTCTCGATGTTCCTTTACAGGGGATGGAACTGAATCTGGCCATTTTCTGAAGTTTCATGAGAAGTAACAGTTTATGTAAACCAAGATTCCTCTTGAAAATCAATTCAGCAGCTTGAAGTAATGTACTTGTCATATGGGAATATTAATAAGAAAGAAAAATGACACAGATATATAAGAAATTAAACTAACTGCCTGTGTAGAGATATCAAAAAGCACAATGATAAATACTCTGAAATGTTTCTTGCAAGATCCAACCACTCTACAGTCATCAGAGATGCAAATGTTGAAAACTATTTTTTTCTAATACCACCCCAATGGTTTTGAAAAAACGTAGTATATGTAGACCGCTACGTTCCATATACCACATGTCAGAACCTTTATGTTGCTGGGTAGGGTCCTCTAAGAAAGTACACGGTCCAGCCCAGATTTTGCAGTATTTAGTGGAAGAAATGGAAAAGGTAAATTTGCCTCTCTCACTGTGACTGTAGGACGGAGAAAAAAGTCTAGTGGGGAATGACAGAAATTCAGACATCCCTATGATGGGGCTGATGAAATGCAAGGCAGAGACGGTTCCCTTGTAAAGGAACCAAGTTATTTATTCTTCCTGGCAAGACAAGAGAAAAGCAAGAGAAATTGTGATTCTCTGAGTCCCAATCAGACCTTTTTACCATATTCTGCTAATGTAAAGGGCTTTAGGATGGATTTGCATTCACTTTTGAGCCTCTTTGCCTATGAGAGAGTTTAAACTTGACATTCCCAGTCAGAATTCATTCTCTGGTCTGCTCCCCTGATAGTAAAATTGCCTTCTTTGAACCATCAAAAAGCTGCACTTCAACAGCCCATCAGGTTCAGGAACCAAACTTGAACATTGCTTGCCCAAAGGATTCAACTGACCACCTTGCATTTTTTTCTGAATTGTTTTCTTTTAAATGTTCATGTTGATAACCATAACAAAACACACTAATTTAAGAGAATCATGCCAGCTTTAAGTATGCTGCCTGGTGAAGGCAAGGGGGAAGTGTAGAAGCATGTATGAGACACTACTGCAATTTCCCTTTAAAAAATCTAGTATAGGTTTATTTCACTCTTTCTGTTGCATTAGTTATGAGGTGACTAAACGAATATGAAAAAACACTATGTAAAACAAAATCAATTAAGGGTTATCCAAAGAATGTAAATATATTTGATACTACAATCTAGTTTGGAAGAAACTCAAATTTGAAACAGAGATCTATTTTTCATTGTGTATGCCCTGCAAGGACATGAAAAATGCCAGTAAAATGGATGGCATAATGATTTTGGTAGCTTGGCAGACTTACCCTACTGGTTCATTTCTCTCTGTGTTGACTTTGTCCCTTACATTCCAAAGATGGATAAATGTATTAATGTGTAGTTTACGACACAGGTCAGGGTATCTTTCTCATTTGACCTTGAAAACAAATGTTCTGTCTGCTCTGCATGGATAATTCATAAGATTTAGTGGCTCATCTCTGTATGTTTGGCATTCAGAAATGTTGCTTCCCCAGATGTGTCACTGTCTTCTGTCCCAGTTAGGTAGTGTACTGCTGCTGAAAGCTGGTTACACATTTATGGGGCTAGACTTGTGTCCCAAAGTGATTTTTGGTTCTTTAGCTTGAAGGGACAATACATTGCTAACATGATGAAAGTCTCCCATTTTCACGAGTATCAGAATATACTGCTTTTATGCTCTTTGGACACAATAAAATTATATTGATTGAAGAAAAATGCTTGATGTATTTTAGGCAAAAAAATAGGCAATGGACAAACATCATCCTTAAAGAATTTTCCACTAACCAGTGAAATAATGTATATGCATACATGTGTTTGAGTACAAACACATAAGGAAAGAATCATAGCTGAGAGGAAATAAAGGGCAAAGGTAACATAACCTTGAATTGCTCACTGTTAGAAGTTTGTGTTAGCTGAATTACTACACAGTGATATCTAGTATGCAACAGTACATCAGTGCATATAGGATAGAAAGCTAGCAAAAGGGGAGACTATCAGTTTTTTAGAGGAAGCAACTAGAAGATGTGACGCCTCTGGTGAATATTGTACAATATTTAGTGGGTAAACTTTGAAGATATTTCTGATTAACTTCAGAACTTCATGAGATGCAGAACTCTTGCTAACTACAGGACTAACAACAAAAAACCTGACCCTGCTTCAGAGAGCTTGCAGTTAAGAGTAAGATAATCGAACAGTTAATACTATCAGGATACACCCCTCCACATCAGGAGGCAGTGAGACAGTATTGATCTGCTGGGTAAGCAGTAATCACATCTCATCACTAACTTAGTCATTATTGAGTCTGTAGTCATCATCGTAAAATAAAGATTTGATATGGGACTATGTCTGGGCATATAGTCACAAAAGCCAAACAAGTTGTTCAGCTCCACTTTACGGGACTATCTGTTCTGTCTACACAGAGAATATTTGTGAAGGTACATGGATGGGAACACTCGTAATACTTTTCTCAGACAAATGAAATATAAAGTCATAATAAGGGCATTTCATATTCCTGAAACCATAGCTACACAGACAACTCCAACTGGCACGAGACATCATTGTCATAGAATTAGACAGTTACCATAACCTACCATTATTATTTCTTCTATCCTTTGTGTGAGTACAAACATAGGTGCAGCTACATGGTGAGCCTCAGCAACTGATCCAAATTAAAAATAATATGGTTAAAAAAAAAACATAGGATTTTAGCTGCCTAAGTTCTTCAATCAGTTTATTGTGTCACTACAAACATGCTGTCCCAGCAAAGGAAAAGAGGTAGGAGATTCAAAAATGAGAATTATTACCTCCTGGGAGCGGCACTAAGTTTTTCTAGCTGAAGGTGTGGCTAGAATTGTGGTAGTAGAAAAACTGTCTCCAGAAATAAGACAAATAGTGATAACAGTGTATTGCACCCTAAGAAGGATGGTGCTGATCTTGAGCTTATTGAATATTTGTCATTTCCATAAAGTTTATAGCACAGTAGCACCAGTAGTTGATTAGATATTTTTAAGAGATTCTCAAGAATTTAATGCTTTTTCTTATATTATGTCTGTGCCTATTAAAATATAGACTAAATTCTGTGCATGATTATGTTCATAAGAGAACAGTATTAGGACAGCTGCTGAAATTCAATTAATTTTATGGGGAGATAACACTTTTTAGTTCACAGCAAAGTTAAGAAAGATGGGCTTGAATGGAAAAATCTGTATCCTGGAATGTAGCTTTGTCCTTGTTTTGGTGGTTAAAAGTGGCATATTATTCTACAGGGATATGGGAAAAATCCTGCCCCCACCCATGCCCAGGGGCTACTAAAGGGCAGCATCACCAGTGTCCATGGGCAGCATGAACAAACTGGCTCCTTGCAGTTGCTCCTACTGCTGAAGAGGAACCCATATCTGAGCGTTTTCTCTCTCTGGTCCCTGTGCAGGTGCTGCTTCAAAGAACAGTCTGTGTATGTATTATGCAAGTTGGGCAGAACTTTGAGAGTTCTATGTGCCTTGGAGTGAAATGTTGCTGTTACGCTCAGCTCCAAAGGTGTGCCCACTGAGAGCAAAATCTATGTCACTGGTGGGCCCTCCTGCCTTTCACTGGTGAATCAAAGTCAACCACCTCCTGCATTTGAGTCCACAGGGCAGGTATGCCGGTGTCCCTGGTGCACTGTGTGTAGGTATCAGCATCCAACAAATGCACCCCAAACACAGCCAGCCCACAGGGGCTCTAGAGGTCTGATCTGAATGTGAAAGTACATTTTATTTCATCTGTGCTTGGAGAGTAACACATAGAAGTTCTTCTTGAACAGCATGACCAAGTTAGATTTGTCCACTGT